GATAGTAATTATAAAAACTTGACTCTACACAGATTTGTCTTGATAGAAACATGATAATAACTTGATAACTCATGTTACCCACAAGCTGGCAGATGCTAGAAAAGATGTAAGAAGGCTGGAAGTACAACATCTCATACTCCCAACAAGTTGGCAGACTTCAAAATGATGAAGAGGAGTTTCGAAATGTAATAGCTCATGCTGCCAACAAGTTGACAGACTCTAGAGACGAAGTAAAAGGCTGGAGGTAAAATACCTCATGCTGCTAACCAGTTGGCAGACTCTAGAAACGAATTAGAAGGCTGAAGATACAATACCTTATGCTGCCAACAAGTTGGCAGACTTCAAAATGATGAATATGAGTTTGGAGATGTAATAGTTCACGCTGCCAACAAGTTGGCAGACTCTAGAATCATAGTAAAACGCTAGAGGTATAATAGCTCATACTGCCAACAAGTTGGAGGACTCTAGGAACAAAGTAGAAGGCTGGAGGTATAATATTAATGCTGCCAACAAGTTGACAAACTCTAGAAACGAAGTAGAAGGCTGGAGATACAATACTTCATGCTGCTAACAAGTTGACGAAGTTCAAAATGATGAATGTTTGGAGATATAATAGCTCATACTGCCAACAAGTTGGAAGACTCTAGGAACAAAGTAGAAGGCTAGAGATATAATAGCTCATGCTGCCAACAAGTTGGCAGACTCTATAGTCATAGTAGAACGCTAGAGGTATAATAGCTCATAGTGCCAACAAGTTGACATACTCTAGAAACGAAGTAGAAGGCTGGAGGTATAATACCTCATGCTGCCAACCAGTTGGCAGACTCAAGAAACGAAGTAGAAGGCTGGAGGTACAACAGCTCATGTTACCAACAAGATGGTAGACTCTAGAAACGCAATAGAAAGCTGAAGATGTAATAATTCATGCTGCCAACAAGTTGGACGACTCTACAAGGTGTATCAGGTATGAGTAGAAAAAATTTGCGGGGTTATAAGTCTCCTCTTTCTGAATAAAAAATTCTTACAACGCAATGTCCCATTCTTTATCCTTCTTAAGATATGATACGATAAAGTGAAAGGTTCTCAAGTTTGAGTACTACTGGTTAATGAATTATACTAAAGAGGCTGTGTTTTGCAACTTGTAATTTGTTTCTAGTTTTGTAATTTTGTTGTTTTTAATACAATAAGCAAGTTTGTTTATTAAAACCTAAATTTTTGTAAATTTTCACATTGCAGAGTGATAAAAGAGAAGTGATAAATTTATTCGTATAAAGTAAACAACCTCTAAAAAGATATCTCAAAACTGACTTTTATGTGTCGAATTAAAACTATATACATATGCAAAGCCTGCTTAGTAATTCTTTATACAACAGTACTTAAACTTTCAAACCCTTAACTCTATAGTATCGTATCTTAAAAATGGCAAAGAATTTTTTATTCACAAAAAGGGGAACCCCTCAAATTTTTTCTACTCATACCTGATACACCCTGTATAAATAAAGTAGAAGGCTGGAGGTGTAATATTCATGCTACCAACAAGATGACAAACTCTAGAAACGAAGTAAAAGGCTGTAGGTACAATACCTCATGCTGCCAACAAGTTGGCAGATTTCAAAATGATGAATAGGAGTTTGGAGATGGAATAGTTCATGTTACCAACAAGACGGTAGACTCTAGAAACGAAGTAGAAGGCTGCAAGTACAATAGCTCATGCTGCCAACAAGTTGACAGACTCTAGAATCAAAGTAGAAGGCTGAAGGTATAACATTTATGCTGCCAACAAGTTGACAGACACTAGAAACGAAGTAGAAAGCTGGAGATATAAAAACTCACGCTGCCAACAAGTTGGCAGAGTCTGGAAACAAACTAGAAGGCTATAATATTTATGCTGCCAACAAGTTGACAAACTCTAGAAACGAAGTAGATAGCTGGAGATACAATACCTCATGATCCCAACAAGTTGGCAAACTTCAAAATGATGAATAAGATTTTGAAGATGTAATAGCTCATGCTATAGTAGAAACCACGAGAGCTGGCAGTGACTTGTTTAAAAATGGTATGAATCAAGATATAAGACGTACGACTTAGATTATTTCACCACATACATTTAAATGTATCTTAATTTAGTAATGGAGGTTATATGTCAAACATTATCAAATTTAGGAGAGGTTAAGCAGCGAAAAATCGTTAATATTAATTTATAATAAAATTTATGTAGGTAATTATTAATTTATTTAACAAATACTTTAAAAGGTTATTTTACAGGTCGCAAGGGATTAAGTAAGTTTTATTTAAACAGTGGTTCATAATTTGGTCATTAATTATTAATTTATTTCATTTTCGGCTTGCGAAAACACTAACAGATTCATGACAATGCTCACAAGACGTTTAGATTTGAGGTTATAATTATACAGTTACATCCCTTAGAAGAACAGACGTACTTTTTCGACGTGGCTATTTGAATTGTATAGCAGACATATTAAACTAACGCTATCTCTTTCTAACACACATTACTCTGTAGCGGTTTGTGAATTTTAATTTACTACGTATGGCATTTGTAAGAGTGGAAAACGATGATTTACTGCCAGCTCTCGTGGCGTCTACTATATCAACAAGATAGTAGACTCCAGAAACGGAGTAGAAGGTTGGAGGGCAACACCTCATGNACACATTACTTTGTAGCGGTTTGTGAATTTTAATTTACTACGTATGGCATTTGTAAGAGTGGAAAACGATGATTTACTGCCAGCTCTCGTGGCGTCTACTATATCAACAAGATAGTAGACTCCAGAAACGGAGTAGAAGGTTGGAGGGCAACACCTCATGCTACCAACAAGATGGCAGACTCTAGAAGAGAAATAGAAGGCTGGAGGTACAATACCCCATGTTGCCAATAAGTTAGCAGACACTAGAAACGAAGTAGAAGGCTGGAGATGTAATAATTCATGCTGCCAACAAGTTGGCAGACTCGAAAAACAAAGTAGAAGGCTGGAGATGTAATAGCTCATGCTGCCAACAAGCTGGACGACCCTGGAAACAAAGTAGTAGGCTGAAGGTGTAATAGCTCATGTTGCCAACAAGTTGGTAGACTCTAGAAATGAAGTAGAAGGCTGGAGGTACAATACCTCATGCTGCCAACAAGTTGGCAGACTTCAAAATGATGAATAGAAGTTTAGAGATGAAATAGTTCATGCTACAATCAAGATGGTAGACTCTAGAAACGAATTAGAAGGCTGCAAGTACAATAGATCCTGCTGTCAACAAGTTGTCAAACTCTAGAAACGAAGTAGAAGGCTGGAAGTATAATATTCATGCTGCCAACAAGCTGGGAGACTTCAACATGATGAATAGGAGTTTGGAGATGTAATAGCTCATGCTGCCAACAAGTTTGCAGACTCCAGACAAGACTGCATAAGGCTGAAGGTGCAATAGCTCATACTGCCAATAAGTTGACAACCTTTAGGTGTCAAAACAGATATCTGTTTTGAATAGCTGATGCTACCCACAAATTAGAAGACTCTAGAATCGAAGTAAAATGCTGGAGGCATAATATAACCTAACAGAAACTATCAAGTCAACAAGTATGTTAAAAACATAATGCAAACTTCAATAACTTAATGCAGACTTAACACTGCAGGAAAAGTAATGTAATTTTAAGGCGATCAAAATAATTCAAATTTCTATCAATATCTTTGTTAAGTAGTTCAAGATTTATGATTATAAATATTACCTAACGAGTTGATGATACGCAGCTTTATGAGACGTCGCACTAATTTGATTCGCAAGTTGCTGATTTAAAAGCCTCTTTCTATGCAATCTTTCTTGTAATTCCGATATCCTTTTATCTATAGCGCTCATTTCCTCTTGACGNTGATTATAAATATTACCTAACGAGTTGATGATACGCAGCTTTATGAGACGTCGCACTAATTTGATTCGCAAGTTGCTGATTTAAAAGCCTCTTTCTATGCAATCTTTCTTGTAATTCCGATATCCTTTTATCTATAGCGCTCATTTCCTCTTGACGGGCCGTTAAAGCTTCTCGTTGCTGATTTAATCTTTGATTCTGTTGCTCATTTAATTTATTCCGATACTAGAAGAAACAAAAAAAAATTAAAGAAACGGATTTTTATCAGTTTATCGTTAAAATATTTGTAGTTAAAATGGAATGTATTATATTATTCAGGTTGCGATTGATATTCGGTCATCATAAACTACAATGCGGAAATATCATCCATAACTGATGATAGCATCAGTGTCGAGATGAATAATGCAGCGGGAGTTAGTGGACAGGTGAAAATGGGATGAAATTTTTGGGGAACCCTCGTCAAAATGAACATGTCATCGTTGATAAAACACCCCCCCAAATAAATCGAAATTACGTGTAAAATCAACAAGGTAAATGTTGAGTAAAATATCTAAAATGATTTTAAATGAAACGACAAATATAGTTTATTTAGCTTCCGTTAAGAATAATGAAGTGTTAATATTTTACGTATTATTTTAAATTAACCGGACAGTTCAACTTTAACCTTCTATTCATGCTTTTAAAATAATCGTCGTTTCAAAGTTGACATAACCCAGTTTCATAAATTATTTTACGTTTAAAGCAAAAAAATAGAAACGTGTTTATTGAATAATTTAATATCACCACTTTGATAATTGAGCGTTTATTGATTTAGCACAAATTATTTTCAATTTAATAAAAAAAAATCTTGATCTAATTTTCTATTCAAACTAAAAATATTTAACGAGTCTTTTCAATTTGCATTTTAATTTCCCCAGAAAGTCGATGGTAATAACTTGATTCACGCCACGTACGAAACTGACGGGTGAAATATCCATAAGTTATTTCGGATCGATATCGCTTTTAACGAAAAGAGCTTTAACGTATTATCTGGTTTTATACTAAAATTTAATTAAATTTGTATCAAGTAGGTTCAATTTGATCCAAAAAGAATTTAATTTAAAAACAAATTGATCCGAAAGCTTGAATTTCGATCACACTCGTACAATTTAATGGGTGATAATATGAATTTGAATCCAAGCGGTAAAGTTTTAGTTCAATAAACACGAAAGGTCAGCGTTAAACCACTAATTAACAATTCTAATTCGTCTAAACCCTAGGGTAGTTGAGCATTTTGGAACGTATGCTAAAGCTTTACGCAAACACCAAAAAAAAAAAACGAGTGTTCGTTTTGATAGGTTTGTGCATAAAAAATTGGAGCCGGACGCCAAATTTTACTTGCTGATGCGCTTTGACATCGCTTTTTACCTCTGTCAAACTAAAAAGGGTGAACGAAACAACAAAACCCGGTTGTTTTATCCACTTTTAAAAATACAATCCACTTTTTTTAGTTAAAACTTAAATTTAAAAAAATATTAGATGGTTATTAAAAGTTAAAAAAAATAAATAAAAAATAAATTAATACAAGAATTGGGTTACTAGAAAATGTAAGTTTAGAGGGGTTCATCGTGGTTTATGTAAACGAAACTAGAGATTTCGAGGAGTATCACGTCGTATCATTATGGAAAGCTTTCGGAGGACGATGGAAACTTTTGGGTAGAGTTTAATACCAACCATAAGTTCTCTTCGGAGTTTGTCTAGCTCGAGGGCTGAAGCGGGAGGTTGGTCTCTCGATGACCTGCCCCTTCTCAACTCTTCGAGTTGTCTGGTGAGCTCTTCCACTTTGGCCACGGCCAAAGATAATTCCTTTTCTTTTTCATTGAAAAGAGCTCGAATTGAATCAAGGTCACTAGCTGAAACAAAAATTACAATAAATTTTTATCTATTTGATTTATTTTATGATTTATGACAGTTCAAATCAAAATTTAGCAACATTTCGTTCAAACATATTTTCTAAACAAAATTTAATCAAGTACCCTATACATCATAAACCATATTAAAGTAGAAGCTTTAATCTTCAATTTAAAACATACCTTGTTTTGTAACTCTTAAAAATAAGCCCACAGTGGTTTAATGAAATTTTTATTTTTTTTTTTTGACATTTCAACTCGAGTTGTCTAACTCTCAAAAATAAATTCACAGCTATTTAATGAAATTCTTAATTTTGTGATAATTTCAAAATAAACGAAGTAGAAGGCTGGAGGTATAATAGCACATGCTGCCAACAAGTTGGCAGACTCTAGAAACGTAGTACAAGGCTGGAGGTGTATTAACTCTTGCTGCCAACAAGTTGGCAGACTCTAGAATCAAAGTAGAAGGCTGGAGGTACAATAGCTCATGCTGCCAACAAGTTGGCAAACTCTAGAATCAAAGTAGAAGGCTGGACTCATGCTGCCAACAAGTTGGCAGACTCTAGAATCAAAGTAGGAGGCTGGAGGTGCAATAGCTCATGCTGCCAACAAGTTGGCAGTCTCTAGAAACGTAATAGAAGGCTGGAGGTGCAATAGCTCATGCTGCCAACAAGTTGGTAGACTCTAGAATCAAATTAGAAGGCTGGAGGTATAATAGCTCATGTTGCTAACAAGTTGGTATACTCTAGAAACGAAGTAGAAGGCTAGAGCTGTAATAGCTCATGCTGCCTACAAGATGGCAGACTCTAGAATCAAAGTAGAAGACTGGAGGTACAATAGCTCATGCTGCCAACAAGTTGGCAGACTCTAGAAACATAGTAGAAGGCTTGAGGCGCAATTTGAATGAATTTTTGACACATCAAACTTATCTTAATTTTAACATTTCTTCAAACATTTTTTTCTAGACACTTCTTTAATGAAGTACACTATACCGGGTTAGTCGGGAGGAACGGACCAAACTTTAGGAGTGTGTTATACACTAAAATATAATTGTAGCAATGTAAAAGAACTGATATGACCTTATCCGATTTTCTTTTATTGCATAACTCTTACTGCATAACTACAATTAAACAAAATCTTATACATCAACAGTAAATATTGATCATCAGCGTTATTTTAATAATTGTTCGAAAATATTGCCATTAACTTCTAAACATTTCCGGCTTCGTTTACTAAGAGCTCTTGTTAAAAATGGAAAAAAAAATGAAAATTGAATAAGAACATATGAGTTTTTTTACATTCCTCCCGGCTCACCCTGTATATCATGTATCATATTAAAATAGAAGATTTAATCTTCAATTTCATGCATAAATCGTTGTCTAACTGTCAAAAATAAACTCACAGCGATTTAATGAAATTTTAAATTTTGTGACAATTTCAACATAACGAAGTCAACATAAACGAAGTAGAAGGCTGGAGGTATAATACCTCATGCTGCCAACAAGTTGGCAGACTCTAGAATCAAAGTAGAAGGCTGGAGGTATAATACCTCATGCTGCCAACAAGTTGGCAGACTCTAGAAACGAAGTAGAAGGCTGGAAATGTAATAGCTCATGCTGCCAACAAGTTGGCAGACTCTAGAAACAAAGTAGAAGGCTTGGAGGTGTAATAGCTCATGCTGCCAACAAGTTGGCAGACTCTAGAAAGAAAGTAGAAGGCTTGGAGGTGTAATATTCATGCTGCCAACAAGTTAAAAGACTCTAAAAATGAAGTAAAAGGCTGTAGGTACAATATCTCATGCTGCCAACAAGTTTGTAGACTTCAAAATGATGAATAGGGGTTTGAAGATGTAATAGCTCATGCTGCCAACAAGATGGTAGACTCTAGAAACGAAGTAGAAGGCTGGAGGTATAATACCTCATGCTACCACCAAGTTGGCAGACTTCAAAATGATGAATAGGAGTGTGGAGATGTAGTAGATGTAGATAGCTCATGCTACCATCAAGATGGTAGACTCTAGAAACGAAGTAGAAGGCTAGAGATGTAATAATCCATACTGCCAACAAGTTGATAGACTCTAAGATCAATGTAGAAGACTGGAGGTATAATACCTCATGCTGCCAACAAGTTGGCAGACTCTAGAAACGAAGTAGAAGGCTGGAAATGTAATAGCTCATGCTGCCAACAAGTTGGCAGACTCTAGAAACAAAGTAGAAGGCTTGGAGGTGTAATAGCTCATGCTGCCAACAAGTTGGCAGACTCTAGAAAGAAAGTAGAAGGCTTGGAGGTGTAATATTCATGCTGCCAACAAGTTAAAAGACTCTAAAAATGAAGTAAAAGGCTGTAGGTACAATATCTCATGCTGCCAACAAGTTTGTAGACTTCAAAATGATGAATAGGGGTTTGAAGATGTAATAGCTCATGCTGCCAACAAGATGGTAGACTCTAGAAACGAAGTAGAAGGCTGGAGGTATAATACCTCATGCTACCACCAAGTTGGCAGACTTCAAAATGATGAATAGGAGTGTGGAGATGTAGTAGATGTAGATAGCTCATGCTACCATCAAGATGGTAGACTCTAGAAACGAAGTAGAAGGCTAGAGATGTAATAATCCATACTGCCAACAAGTTGATAGACTCTAAGATCAATGTAGAAGACTGGAGGTATAATAGCTCATGATGCCAACAAGTTGGTAGACTTCAAAATGATGAATAGGAGTTTGGAGATGTGACAACTCACTCTTCCAACAAGTTTGCAGACTCTTGACAACACTGTAGAAGGCTGGAGGTGGAATAGCTCATACTGCCAATAAGTTAGACACCTCTTGGTGTCAAAACAGATATCTGTTTTGAATAAGTCATGCTGCCCACAAATTAGAAGACTGCAGAAACGAAGTAGAATGCTGTTGGCATAATATAACCTAACAGAAACTAACGAGTCAATAAGTATGTTAAAAACATAATGCAAACTTTAAAAACTTAATGCAGACTTAACACTGCAGGAAATATAATGCAATCTTGGGCGCTCAAAATAATTAAAATTTCTATCAATATCCTTGTTAAGTAGTTCAAGATTAATAAAAAATTTTCTTTATTATAAATATTACCTAACAAGTTGATGATACGCAGCTTTATGAGAAGTAGCACTAATTTGATTTGCAAGTTGCTGATTAAAAGCCTCTTTCTATGCAATCTTTCTTGTAATTCCGATATCCTTTTATCTATATCGCTCATTTTCTCTTGACGGGCCATTAAAGGCTGAAGATGTAATAATTCATGCTGCCAACAAGTTGGCAGACTTTAAGATCAAAGTAGAAGACTGGAAGTATAATGGCTCATGCTGCCAACAAATTGGCAGACTCCAGACAACAATGCAGAACGCTGAAGGTGCAATAGCTCATAGTGCCAACAAGTTAGCAGCCTCTAGGAGTCAAAACAGATACCTGTTTTGAATAGCTTATGTTACACATAAATTAAAAGACTCTAGAAACGAAGTAGAATGCTGACGGTATAAGGCAGAATAGATGCCTTGTACTACAATAGCTTAAACTACCAACTCAACAAGTATGTTAAAATCTTGTATGAATGAAAGAAGTATATTCGGTGCGTTGAAATTGAATTAAATTTGCTTTAATATCACATCTACTTTTTGAGATATGATTTTTTTGAATTTAATCTTTATAAAGTGAAAAATGTAAATTTTTTGCAATGATTTCTTAAAGGAAGTAATTTTCATTTTCTAAGTATGAACGGATCAAAGCTATAAATAATTACAAAAAAGAAAGTGTTGAAAGCAAATTGGGTATATTGCTATACTTAAGATTTCAGTGGTTTGGTCTCTTATTATAGTTATTATAGCCGGTTGAAAAGCCGCCAGGTGAACGATAAAAACAATTTCCCCTGTAATCGTTTCCTAGTATACTGGTAAATCTGCTTGTGATGTTGAACAGTTCCGTTATTACTAAAGGTCATTGAAATAGCGCAAATTCCTCTGTCGGCACGATTTTGAGTTACGTAATGGCGACGGGGCTTCAAGTAATTGCGTCATAATCATCTTGAGATGCCAACAAAATCGACACGATTAAAGTATTCGATATCTCTAAGAAATTATTTATTAATTAAAAAATAACATAAAGCAAGTTTTCCATATAAATAGACTACGATTAGTTGAAGTACATTTACTTCGCAACGTTAACTCCGGAAATTCAATTGATAGACAGGATTGAAAATCCTAATCGAATCAAGAGACGTTATTTAAATTTCTATCGATCCTTTGGGAAACTTTGGGGGCTAATCCGGTCGCGTTTAAAATTCTGCCGTAGGGAAAGTTTGATCGCGCGCTAAAATCTTGCAGATTTATGGAAAACTAGAAATTTAAATTCGCCAACGCAGCGGGCTACCATTGTAATTCAGCTTCAGAAATTTAATTACGTTTTGGCAATACCGAATGAATTTAAAATCAAACCGATCGTTGACTTCGGATTTGATTTTAAACTTCACATACTCTTGGTACGTTGCGAGCTCGGTGGGAAACTTTTCAAAAAGTTCCAAAGAACTACTTGGACAAATAATTGAATCGAACACGAAAGTGCTCACCCATTTGGGAATAATGTTTTAATTGATTTGCGTTTTGTTGTTGTTAATTAAACCGTAACGGGGATTTTCCGAAACGGTTTCACTGCTCAGCGGCCAATTGATTTCATTTTCCAGTAAATAATGAAATTATTTTGAAATTAATTTCAACAGATTATTCACCGCCTACGCGGTGAATAAAAGTATTGGTTTTAACATAAAAAAAAATATTGCTTTTTTTTTATTAACACCCTTCAGCATTCAAAAGAGCTTTACGTTATCATCTTCTTCATTCGCAGCGATATTGGCTTGAAACCCGGTACGTACCATTTTTGCAATGCGGAAGAATAAGCTTAAGCTTTCGCATTAAAATGTAGGTCGTAAAGTAGCGGACAGAATGGCTGCTAGACCCTTTATGTATTCGATATATT